AGTGTGTGTATGTGAGAATTCCTGGATTTGGGAATTGGGAAATTTGGGAATTTGGGGGTCTGAGAATTTGGGGAATTTTAGAATTTTGGAATTTGGGAATTTAGAAGTGTTGAAACACTACAATCTGCGAATGTAGGAATGTGGAATTTTGGAATGTGGGAATACTGAAACATTAGAATTTGGGAATGTGAGAATGTTGGAATGTGGAATGTGGGAATGCAAGAACTTGAAAATTTGGAAATTCGAGAACTTCAATATTTATTAATTAAGACATAAATTCCGAAATTTGAGAAATTCGAAATTTTCTAAATTTTCCATAATAAATTTGTAACCTGAAAAATTTAACAATACCTAAGCCTTTAATTACAATAACAAAACCCAATGCGTTCCGAGCCAAAGTATTATTCGCCGCACTATAATCTCTAAACCGATTTGCGAATTTGTTTCCAGGCGATGAAATCGTATTTGACTTTCTATTTTCAGGATCCAAGATTGCACATCCAAGCATTTCGCGAGCCCCGAGTCAACGACCACATTTTCCATCGCGTTTTTCTTGGTCCCCTTAAAAGTAAAGTGTAATCCAGCCACCAGTGTTTTCTCTCCTCGTAACTACCGCTGCTTATTCTTCCCGTGCATTTCGGACAAGACGATCTCGTCACGTAAAATTTTAATACGACAAGTGGCCTCGTAAAGTCTCCGTAGTCGAGACATGAATTTGAAAAATCTGGAACGATAAAGGATTTCCATGAAAAGGAAGCATCGCGAGTTAAACGTATCTCTGGAAAACTCGTCGAAGCCCGCATTGACAGAGTCTCATCAAAGTGAACAACTCCCATGATACGTTTTCGTGAAAATAGCTTCTACCGGCTGGTTACTTCGATGTTTTAAAGGAAGATCAGCGAACGTCGTAAAAGTGCTCTTCGAACACGGTCACGGAACAACGTTGTTAAATATCAACTGACGAAATTACGAGGGAATTACCGGGGTAAAACGAATGAATAAGCTAGTAATTTCGGGACGGCAAATTGATAGGTTGCTCGTTAAAGGAGGAGCAATTACATAGAATTCTCATTTTCACAAATTCACGAATTATCAAACTCATTTTCGTATAACAAGTTTGATAATTTTCAAGTCTAGGAATGGTCTAAGACATCAAGTTGTAAATTCAAAAATTTGAAAATTCTTTGTATGTCAAATTCTTATACTCCAAATTTCTAGAATTTTCAAGTCCAGGAATTGTCACATACCCCAACTTTTAAATTACAAAATTCTAAAATTCTATAATTCCCAAATTCTCAAATTTTGTAATTCCCAAATTCTAAAATTTCCAAATTCTCAAATCCTTAAATTCTCAAATCCTTAAATTTCCAAACCCCCAAATTCCCAAATCCAGGAATTCTCACACACCCCCACTTCTAAATTCTAAAATTCTAAAATTCCTAACTTCCAAAATTCCCAACTCCCAAAATTCCCAAATTCCAAAATTCCCAAATTCTAAAATTCCCAAATTCCTAAATTCCCAAATTTCAAAATTCCAAAATTTCAAAATTCCCAAATTCCAAAATTCCCAACTTCCAAAATTCCCAAATTCCCAAATTCCCAAATTCTCAAATTCCCAAATTCCAAAATTTCAAAATTCCTAAATTCCAAAATTCCCAACTTCCAAAATTCCCAAATTCCAAAATTCCCAAATTCCCAAATTCCCAAATTCTCAAATTCCTAAATTCCCAAATTCCAAAATTTAAAAATTCCCAAATTCCAAAATTCCAAAATTCCAAAATTCCCAAATTCCCAAATTCCCAAATTCTCAAATTCCTAAATTCCCAAATTCCAAAATTTAAAAATTCCCAAATTCCAAAATTCCAAAATTCCAAAATTCCCAAATTCCCAAATTCCCAAATTCTCAAATTCCTAAATTCCCAAATTCCAAAATTTAAAAATTCCCAAATTCCAAAATTCCAAAATTCCAAAATTCCCAAATTCCCAAATTCCCAAATTCTCAAATTCCTAAATTCCCAAATTCCAAAATTTAAAAATTCCCAAATTCCAAAATTCCAAAATTCCAAAATTCCCAAATTCCCAAATTCCCATATTCCAAAATTCCAAAATTCCAAAATTCCTAAATTCCTAAATTCCAAAATTCCCAAATTCTAAAATTCCCCAAATTCTCAAATCCCCAAATTTCCAAATCCAGGAATTCTCACACACCCCCACTTCTAAATTCTCAAATTCCAAAATTCCAAAATTCTAAAATTCCCAAAACTCCCAAACCCCAAATCCAAAAATATCCAAAACCCCCTCCATGAAAATTCCAAAATCCCCAAATTCCCAACCTTCAAAAATCCAAATCCATTATTCCAAATTTCACCCAACTTCCCAAATCCCCAAACATACAAAAACCTCCAGTTTCCACAAAGCCAACTCCCCAAACGACCAAAACTCCACATCGTTAAATTGTAAAATTTTCTTGAAACTTTAAAGCGTTTCTTGGCATGATAACGGTGTACGTCTTAGACGAATAGCAGTTATATTCGATAATAAGCACACCTGGTCAAATTCAATTATACGATTCCCGAGGGCAAGTAATCCAATTTGCACGTCATCAAGTCACGCGGCGAAACTAGTTCGAAGGCCCAGGCATACACAACCAACCGCGTGTATCAAATATTGAAGTTCCTAGATTGCGCTGGACTACCCTCAGGGACATCAAATAACTGCCAGCCTCCGAAAACGCGAGAAGCCTTGTCGAATTACGATTGTACTCAATTTTCATCCCCTTCGATGGAAATAACGTTCGAAACCGCTAAAACTTTTTAAATTTTCATTCCACGGATCACGTGCCTTTTCATCTCTTCTCTTCGGTTTCTTGACTTTGCCAACAGAATTCTTCAAATCAAATTTGCGAATTTTCACTTTCTGGATTTCCACGTTGTAGATTTTTTAAATTGACAAATTATTGAATTTCCGTATTGACATTCCACGTTCTAGATTTTTTAAATTGACAAATGAAGACATTTTGAAGTTGTCGAATTGATAAATGAACAAATGAAGAAATTTTCAAATGGACAAATGACTGAATTTCAAAATTCTCAAACGATCAAATTTAAAAATTGTAAAATTGACAAATGATCAAATTTTGAAATTCTGAAATTGATAGATGACCAACCTTAAAAATTCTCAAATTGTCAAAGGACAACATCTTCAAGTGCTCAAATTAACAAATGACTAAATTTTGAAATTCTGAAATTGTCAAATGACTGAGCTGCAAAATTCTCAAATTGTCAAATAACCGAATTAAAATATTAATACAAAATGTTCAAACAACAACAAAATTTTAATTGATCCTAGCTCTCATAAATATTTCAGAAACCCAAAATTCTACTGCCAAAATAAAATTCCAAAATTCAATCATGTCCACCTATAATCTAAAAGGAGATCGTCGACGAGGTTAAAACTAACGAATGATTTCTCTAATAAAACGTCGAGCATCTCTGTAAACGATTTTCGAGGAAAGTGCTCCGTAGCGAGAGGGTTAACAAGGCGGCCGTAACGCAATTTCATCGATAAAGACTGTGCATTATTTCTTGGAAATTCACGGAAACAGAAAAGTGGAGGCAAATGCAGCGGCGCGCTTGATGATAAAGATATCGCTGAGAAAATTACAAAAAGAAAGTGTCAAAGCGCAAGCTTTCCGGTGGAACGCGTTCGTGCGTCAAAAAGTAAAAATGAAAACGATATACGCGTCTCTGCTGTGAAGACTGTCAGACGCGACGAACACCGAGCATGTTAATATTTTTTCCAAGCAGTTCGCGTTGCACCCTGCATTCCAAACTGCACTTTGTTAACAATGCAAGAATATTCCACGTTCCCAGACACGGGACTATTTTAACCATCCCACCGAGCCGATACGTATATTTTACAAAAGAGTTCTACGTTCCGTGACCTTCCGAGAATTATCGTGCGTTCGTTTATCTCTAAGCCTAAAGTATGTTATTCCGAATGCAAATGAAGCAGTAAAACAATAAAAATGATAGTAGAAAATGTGCTAACTCGACAGCAGAATAATAAACGTTTAAATAAAGTAAGAATTTAATATTCGTTTAATTCCTTCGACGAAAGAGATCGCATAATCGAAAGTGTAATCGTGCCATCGCAACATAATCGTCAGCATTTTTCGTTGCACCGTGTGCAAATGGATTCTGTTCGATTTTATTCGAGTAAACATAATTATTCGGCTGTTCCGAACGTAACTGATTATTCCTCTCTCGTGCAACCCGTAAAATCGATCAACGCGTAAACACATCGACACGCCATATTTCGTGTAATTACACGTAGGTATCGTTATCGAACTCAAGCATCGTTATTATCCAAGGCAGGAGAAATTATTTTCTCTCGAATCGACGGGAAAAACTGCGAGATGAATCGTAATCGAATTACGTATTTTACGTCGACACGTAGACACATTTGATCGTGCGGAAATAACTTGCATTCGAGGCTATCACTACGAAAATCACCCTAGGAGGAGTTGGAACCTATAAGATGATCGGTGCATCGTTGAGAATGCATTATTATCCAAGTCACAAAAAATGATTTTCTCGCTTGCTGCGAATCGACAGCAAAACTGCGAGAACGAATCGTAATCGAATTACGTATGACACATTTGTTCGCGCGGAGCTAACGCGCATTCGCGACTATCACTACGAAAATCACCCTAGGCGGAATTTATAAGGTAGTCGGTGCACCGTTCAGAACGCGTAGTTCGACGCAAACGAGGAATTGGATTGAAATATTGCCCAGGAAGACGCACAGTTTTCGTATCGCTGATAGCGCGGCCGCAGCGACGAATCATGCATCGCTCTTCGCAAGCTGAGACCCGCACGTGTTTGCAAGAGAATCCAGCTCGAAAGGTATCGAGGAAACGGGACAAGATAAATTAATTACGATAACGGATACGTCGCAGACAATTTCGTTAGATACCGCTTGGTTCACTCGCTGCACCGATGACAACGAAAGTAGTCGACACGACGCTTGGCGTATGGCCACAGTGGGTTGCCTGCATTATAGGTTTGTGAAATCCTCAATTTCTTCGCTCAAGTCAAATTTACCGTGCTATCGTTCCATTTATCATCCGTATGTTGAGAAAAATGTGATCAGGAAACTATTTTTCATGATGTAATTGAACGATAGTCGAGTGTCACGAAAACTATGTTCAGGGGAAATGATGACAGACAGTACTCGATTTGATGTATTTTGTGAAATATGGTTATTGATTATTCGTCTGAGGAAAAATTTTTTGTGACGTGCTTCTGACGAACTTGTGATGTTTAGGTTGGTTTCATGTGTCAAGTTCAATTTTTTAAAATTTGATCGTGTACATATTTCAGTCACTAGACTTACTTGTTCATCAATTTTTCAAATTTTGATGCTGTCTCAATGAGATGAATTTTTACAAAGGAACAAGAAAGTTCTCATTTCAGAAGACAATAATTAGATTAAATCTACTTGAAGAATTGCTGATAGAAATTTAAAGAATCCAACAGCAGTTCATTCTGAACAAATTATTTAGATAACATGTAGCTGTTTAATCATCACATTATGAATTCTTTATGAAGCACCAGTGAATCGTACATCTGATAATTGCATGTACACATATACACATAAAAATTGATGTATCAATGAATAATTTAATCGTGATGACTCTTTAATGATTTAATCATAGTGACTCTTTAATAATTTAACCGTAGTGACTCTTTAATAATTTTAACCATTATGACCCTTTAACAATTTATGCACAGTGATTCTCATAATTTAACCATTATGACTCTTTGATAATTTAACCATAGTAATTCTAAAAATTTAATCACAGTGACTCTTTAATAATTTGCCCACAGTGACCTTGTTATCCATCTCGTTTGGCCTGGTAATCGGATGGACATCTCCTTATTTGGCTCGATTAACCAGCCACGACGATTTATTCCACGTATCAAATAACGAGGCATCATGGGTGGCAGCTTTGATGCCTTTCGGACGTTTATTTGGTGCCATCGCTGGTGCCATTATTTTAGAATACTACGGCAGCAAAATGGCTCTCATGACAACAGGAGTGCCTGTCATCGTAGGCTGGATTTGTATAATACTTGCCACTTCGGCTCCCTGGCTTTATGTATCCAGAACCTGTGCAGGTTAGTAATCTTTCCAACTTTTAAAAACAATTCACTAGTAGATTGATCACGAAGGACTATTCAAATGACTATTCGAAGGACTAATTCCAAAAGGAACAATGCTTTGAGACCGAAATTGTACAAATTTTTAAATGTATTTATTGCAACTCATTCATCTATTGATCTATTGATTTATGTATCTATTTATAGATATATTTATCTGTTATTTTATTGACTATTATTATTAGTCTACTTATACTCGTATATTTATGTATAACTCATTAATGTATTAATTGCTGTATTCATTGTTTATATTAATCATAACTAAATGTATTAATTTTATGTACCTATTAACTAATCTATTTATTTGCATTTTATTGATCTATACAGTAGATATGTATATCTGCATATTCATTTATGTGTCTATTTGTCTGTCACTTTATTGACCCATTTGTCGATCAATTTATTTACCCATTTATTTAAAGCTTTCTCTTATCACGTAGCACAAAGCGAAGTCCACTATCAATTTGTCCTATTGTGCTCATTCTCCTCATTATATTCAGCTCTATTGCTTCTGTTCCTAATTGCTGTCGTTTGAACGAAAATTTATCAGAAGCCTTACCAGAGTGATTAAACCTTTGTGAACGATGTTCAACCATAGGTATTTCGATCGGGATGTTCTTCAGCTGTTTTTCCCTGTACGTCGGTGAAATAGCGTCGGCGCAGATTCGCGGTGCGTTGGTCAGCATCATAATGAACGGATTGCCGATTGGAACGCTGCTCGGCAACGTAATGGGCGTTCAAGTGTCAATAATGTGGTTCGGAATAATCAGTTTAATTCTGAATATCTGTTATGTCGTGATTTTCCCGCTTCTGCCGCACACGCCTCACTATTACGTACGTCGCAATAACATGGACGAGGCGAGAAGGACGATTCAATGGTACCATAGAAAATCGAACGTAGAAGAGGAACTGGAGATCATCGGAAATTACGTGCGAGATTCTGGATCCATGAGCCTGCGAGAGAGACTCAAACAGATCGGTGAAAAGAGAAACCGTCGCGTGTTCGGTATAGTGATACTGTTATTCATCTTCATGCAACTCAGCGGACTGAACACCGTCGTGTTCTATATGGAGATTATTGCTAAGAGGGCCCAGGTTACGTCCATAGAACCAAAGAACGTCGTCATCATTGCCAGTTCAGTAGGTATTGTATCCTTTTAAATAATCTTATAACCTATAATCTGATTATCTCACAACCTTCTGGCGCAACAAATGTTCTTACATAAAATGCTAGGTGCACTTCTAGCCCCTGTTGAATGAAGTGAAATGTCTAATACGATGTATGATGTAGAAAGTATTTCATCGATCAATTTCAACAATGTACATTGATCAAGTATTTCATAAAATTGTAACTAACTTTTTATGCAGTCAACAAATTTTGATGAACTAACTTTTTTGTACAGTCAGTACATATTCTGTGAAAGGATAGGTCACAGAAAAAAATTACTTGTAACTTCAGAAATGAACAAGATGAAACACAAAATTAATAGAAATAAACAGTATAGTTATGTTTCATAAGAAGTAACAGTGAACTAATGTTCATGATATTGATATTATTCACATTCGTACACTGGTTTTCAGTTTGAAATGTATTAACAGGTGAAACATTTACTCGTCAACCGAAAAATTCATAAATCCCCATTATACCATTCAGTCCAATCATTCAATCAGTTAATCTTCCTATAGCTCACTAGTTAGGAATAATCCTTCATCAAACAGTAGCTTCGAATTCAAATCCCGATGAAACTACTCATTGTCAAATATTCGGCTCTCTACGTTCTCGAAATCGAGAATGATCCTCGTACTTTGCATAAGGTATATCAAAAATCGATTGAAATCGATAGGACAGTATTAGCTTAACTATTGAACAAAAGGAGTTCGAATCCGATTCGTCAAATATTCGTCTAAAAATTGGAATGATTTTTGTACTTCGTGTGAACAATTACACTTGAAAGAGATATACTTATGATCAATCTATGTAGCATGATAAATAGTGCAGTCACCTGTCGAACAAAAGGTTCAACTTCAGATTTGCATTCATGTAACTCAATTTGATAAATGCTCATGTTTTCACATTTGAAAAATTGAAACAATCTTATGCTTCATATGAAGTACAACAAAAAGCAATTACACTTAAGAGAGAAATACTTATGATCAATCTAAGTAACATCATACATAATGCAGTCCCCTGACGAGCTAAAGGTTCAACCTTAAATTTTCATTCATGTAACTCAATGTTTATATTCCTACATTTGAAAAATTGCAATAATCCTATACTTCATATGAAGTAAAAATAATTACACTTGAAAGAAAAATATTTATGATCAACCTTAGTAGCGTCATATACATATAGTACAATCACCTGTCGAACTTTAAATTTGCATCCATGTAATTTAATCTGGTAAATGTTCATGTTTCCACATTTTAAAAATTGAAATAATCTCTCTACTATACACGAAGTACACCAAAAAGCAATTACATTTGTTGTAACACGTATCAGTCACCTCTGAAAAATTCGAGTTGGAATCCAGATACAAATAATCCAATGTGCCAAATCTCCCTTCATTTTCCACGTAGTTGATTAAAATAGAGACATTGTACAAAGCGCAGGAAAAATCATTTAAAAAGAAAACTGAACTAATAGTAAGAGGAAGATGGTATTCTTTATAGTTGAACCGTGACAATCAACCATCAAAAGATGACTCCCTGATCGATTCCCTGTTCAAACAATCCGACAAGTATTTCACTAACAAAAACTCCACCCTCGTTCCCTCCGAAAATGTTTCGTCCACTTAAAATCGATACAATACACACCGTGTCCGTGTTTCAGGCATACTAATCGGTTGGATCAGCGTGTACCTGATCGATCGGTGCGGCAGAAGAGTTCTCATGTCGGCGTCGTGCTGCTGCGTAATCGCCGCGATGGTGCTTTTGGGATTGCATTTCATGTTGTTGGACTTGAACTGCGATCCGAAAAAGCTCGAGTGGCTGCCAATCATCGCGATGATGCTCTTCATGATGATGTCCATTGGTTTGATACCGGTACCGAGCACGTTGCTCGGGGAACTTTTCCCGGCGTATTTAAGGAGCATCGCGGGTTTCATGGTCAGCGTCACCTCCGCGTTGTCCGCGTTCGTTTGTACCATAACCTATCAACCTATGATCGACACGTTGACTGAGAAGTATGTGTTCGGGATATATGCGGTGCTGATGACTGGGTGTCTGATTTTCTCCGTTACTTGTGTACCGGAAACGAAAGGGAAGACATTGCAGGTAATCATCGATATGTGGCGGTTTCTCACTTGTGGTCACTACACTTATGGTCACTAGAGGGTACATGAGACTTGACTTTCTCGCCAGTACTCGAGGAATTTTCTTACTCATACATGTAGTTCCTGTCTATCATTTTCATACATTCATGCATTTAAAGTAAGGTTAGGATGATTAGGATGACTCATCCTGCTAGGATAACGATACGTTCAATAGGATGACTGTGACCAGTCCACTTACCATGCTCTCTACCTCTCCTTCATTTTTCCTAGCTCACTAGCTAGCCAAACCGCCAAAATATTAATAGACTAAAATGTAATAGATTACATTTAGATTATGAGACTATCATAGTAGATTAACCCTTTGCACTCGAGAGGCGCCTCTCAGGCATGTGTTGTATAGCGCTCATGTGATGTATAAATATAGTGAAATAGACAATAGTGGAAATTATTAGTAGAGCAATAGTAACCTCAAAAGAACTCATTTAACATTTTAATTAATATTTTAAAGTTGCTGTTTGCAAACAATAAAATTATCTTTGAGTGCAAAGAGATAAATTTGAGCATTTTTTAATAAGTATTTCAGGTTCTTAAGATGTCTTAGTTTGATCAGTTCGGTAAAATTTAATCACTGTTTAATTTTAATTTAATTTGTTGTAACCATAATGTTATATAAAATACAATATTCACAGGAAATACAGGAAATGTTGGATGGACGTAATCGATCGGAGAACAGTGTGCAAACAGAATACGGATAAAACTGCCAATTGTTTGAAACTAATAAAGAACGATAGAAGATCAACGATCTCAATGAAACGGCGTTTTTGTTACAACCGTGTCACTTAGCAATAATTTATATTTGTATCGTTTAAAGTAAGCAATAAACTATGTGTTGTGTAATCGCGGAAACATGGTGAGTTATGAATATTTAGTTGATTTATTTGACCGTGAATGAAACTACAAGGAATTACACGTATCTTATCTTATCGTGTCAAAAGAGACTAACAACTAACCGGTAGAAAAAAACGGGAATTCTATAAATCATGCGGGTGAAAAACACAAATTTTCTTATCTAAAACTTTCGTACAAAAAGTAGGAAAAAAACGAGCATTTTTGGCTTCCTAAAGATATGACAGGTGAGACAAAACTAATTGCCTTTTAAAATAATTAAAACTAACTGCTTCGAAATAGTTTTGCTCGAAAGTGTTCAATTAAAGTTAATTACTAGTGATAATTATTCTAATGAAGTAAATGAAACTTGCGAAGTCTAAAAGGAAATAGACAGTGATAAAATACAAAATATTTTCAGAACACTGAATGTTGAAGTTAACTACTGAATAATTGTATCAAGAAACTACCAAGTTTATGTCCTTTCTAACTTTGAAAAGAAATGTCATAGTAACATTGTTCATTAAATTTACCGTCGAATTATACGTACTATAAACATGACGTCAGAGCTAATAAAACAGGCAGACACTTTCATAGCGTTCATAAAACACTTCCTCCTCCGTTCGCCTAATTTATTCTAGTCTATAAAGGAGAGATAAATCCCGTGTCATGCGATGGTTTGGAACTTTTCAAAATTCTCTTTGTAGACTAAATTTGGATCGGAATGGAAGCGAGACAAAATTAAGGCCGAACAACGATTTTAACGAATTAACAAATAGCAAGAGTGACTATTTCTTCCGCGGGTATAGCAAAACAGCGCGTCTTGACTTGAGTACAAATATATACATCTTCTCGGTACACTGAGAAGGGAGAAAACGAGGAGTTGGAAAGGGGTGACTTTCCCCAAATTGGGAATTGCCACTTTCCCCTGTCAGAGGTCATCTGGCCCAAATCGTTGCACGGTGACCCATCCACTCCTCCTACAAATAAACCCTAGTATCGCCTCGACTTTTCAAACTACATGGAACCGAAAAAATACAGCTACCTCAGGCTCAATATGCAAGCTAAGTAAAAATGGACAAGTTCCTTGGTCTTTTATTGCTGCTATGATAAACCTTCAACATCTCTCTCTCTTAAATTTATAATAATCTACACCTTTTTCAAATTTGTTCACGAGGATACCAATAACGTGGAAGTTTCCGGTGGCAATTTGTAGATTTCAAGGGAGAGATAATTCAGTTTCGAAACTGTCGTTTTCCACCGCAAAATATCGCTTCTCCAAGTGCGTCCTTCGCGAGACTTTTACAACCACGATGCAAATAAAATTAACGATTGCAAAATGTAATTGATAGCATTATTAATAAAATATGTCGCCTGCAAATAATTGCTCGCTCCACAAAAGAACACGCGGAGACAGTTTGAGTACAGCTCCATAGAAATGAGACGACTGTTAACGAAATGATGACATGCATGTGTACATACTCGAATAATATCTTATCTGTTCGAAACAAATTTTATACTACGTTACGAGATTTTGAAAACCGCTTCATTTTCATGCGCGTAACATTATCAGTCGTTCCGCGTCTCCAGAGGGGACAACATGGTTGCGGAAAGAGGCGAAAAATTAACACCTACGGTAAAGTGGCCGCAATGGATCACTGGTATCGAAGGTAATTAATAATTTTACTTATTTAATATTACGGTGCTGTAACATCAAGTGTAATCCCTGTGGTGTCACTGTAATCATGAACCTTTTGCAACTGTGAGTGACATTCGAACTACCGCAGCGATGTGTGAATACAATTATCACAAGGTTCCATAGATATGTATACATTAGCACATTTGTACACTTATATGCTGTTGAACGTTTAAATTATATAATTTCATACTTACAAGTACCTCTATATTTCCATATTTCAATACAACTATTTTACCATACCCTTTGATTTCTAGACTCAGACTGAATATCCCTAGACTCCAATATCATTGGATGCTGTCATCCTTAGATTTTGATATCGCTACGTATTGATATTTTTATACATATACTACATCCTGATACATCTAGTCATGGATAATCCTAAATGCCGATACCTCTAGATACTGATATCAATACATACCGATATTCTTACGTACCAATATCTCTAGGTACCAATATCCTTATGTACCGATATCCCTACCCATCACTATTTCTAGATTCCGATATCTTTAAATCCCAATATCCCTAAATTCCGATATTCTTAAACCCCGATATCACTACATACCGGTATCCTTAGACATCGATATTTTTAAATGCCGATATTCCTAGATCCCGAAATCTCTGGATCCCAATCTCCGTAGACCCCAATCTCTCTAGTTCCCAATCTCTCTAGTTCCCAATCTCCGTAGATCCCAATCTCCCTAGATACCAATTTACCTAGATCCGAACCTACCTAGATCCCGATCACCCTAGATCCCAATCTACCTAGATCCCGATCTTCCTAGATCCCGATCACCCTAGATCCCAATCTACCTAGATCCCGATCTCCCTAGATCCCGATCTCCTCAGATCCCAATCTCCCTAGATCCCAATCTCCCTAGACCCCAATCTCCCTAGACCCCAATCTCCTTAGATTCCAATCTCCCTAAATCCCAATCTCCCTAGATCCCAACCTCCCTAGATCCCAACCTCCTTAGATCCCAATCTCCCTAGACCCCAATCTCCATAGACCCCAATCTCTCTAGTTCCCAATCTCCCTAGACCCCAATCTCCCTAGTTCCCAATCTCCCTAGTTCCCAATCTCCCTAGT